CTTTCCTTGTCTTCTATCTTGGTATGAGAGCCAAAGGTTTGAATCTAGAGGCCTCCCACCGTGCTTCCTGTGTCTCCAGCTGGTGGTCGGAATCTTAGCCACCTGTCGGGTCCCCGCTGCCTCTTGTTTAATTTAGCTTTCCATTCATATGCCTTTTTCTAGCCAAATCTATTTTAGCTTTTACTTGGGTTGGATAATGCAGAACAGGGGAAACCCGGCGACGGAAGAAGAATTGAGGAAGATGGTGAAGGTGATTGATTTGGACGGCTATGGGATATTGATTTAAACATGTTTATTGACTTGAAAATGAATAGGGTTCATTTGGAAAAGGTTGTAGAGGATCCGAGACATGCATCTRTGATATTTAACTTAGATGGGAACGKGTCYATAGCACTAGAAGAGTTGGAGGAGGTASTCAGAAATCTGGGGGACGATAAGTGTTTGATTGCAGACTATAAGAAGATCATTCGTGGTGTTGACTCCGATGGAGATGGGTTGGTAAATTTTGAGGAKTTCATTAGTATGATGATGGACACGCGCTCTCCTGGTTCGTCCTCTCCAATAACATCATCACTTCAAACATTATTGASGACATCATCAATCCCAACTCATAAATAGTACTTTCTTAGGTTACCAACGTTCTAGGCGCGGGGTACCTACCTCCCTTCCAACGTCTCGAGCTCATGCGTCCCAACACCGAGCACTTGCCATACTCTATAAAGACCTTCCCAATTCGGTCCCAACTTACAAAAATCAGTCTCAAGCACCATAACTTTCAAAATTCCAAGATTGTCAACTCGGAAGTAGAGTCTCTTCACTCGGGCATTATAATTCCAGGCTACTGTCTTTTGGTAAGCCAYAGTCCAGATTTATGTATGGACTGCTATGATAAGGTTTGAATCTAGAGGTTTGAATCCACATTTATGTATGGACTGCATTATAATTCGGGCATTATAACACTCATGAATGCAAATTTTCAAGCTTTCCTTGTCTTCTATCATGGTATGAGAGCCAAAGGTTTGAATCTAGAGGCCTCCCACCGTGCTTCCWATGTCTCTAGCAGGTGACCGGAATCGTAGCCACCMRCCGGGTCATCGCTGTTTCTTGTTTAATTTAGATTTCCATTCATATCTCTTTTTTATAACCAATTCTAGTTTAGCTTTTACTTGGGTTCGGTAATGGAGAATTTGGGAAATCCGGCGCYAGAAGAAGATTTGTRGAACATGGCAAAGGTGGTTGATTTGGACGACATTGGGTTTGATGATTTAGACAAGTTTATTGACTTGAACACGAATAGCGTTGATTCGGAAAAGGTTGTAGAGAATCTGAGACACGCGTCTATGATATTTAAYGTAGATGTGAATGGGTCCATATCACTAGAAGAGTTGGAGGAGGTACTCAGAAGTCTGGGGGACGATAAGTGTTTGATCGGAGATTATAAGAAGATCATTCCTGG